GATAAATCTTGTCAGTAGTACACGCCACACCAGTATGTTGTGTTTACCAGACAGTGAATTTATTTCTTCCTAACAGAAATGTATCCCCACTATTGCGTATTGAGCCTAAAAGACTCAGCTGGCGCTTACTTACTTGTGTCATTTCCATTGCACATGTGATATCCGGCTATCGTCGATCAGAGGAGGTATGTAACGGCGGGAGCAGAAAAGGAACTTTGTCATGGATCATTATTGAAGAAAAACACATCTTATTTATGCATTCTAGCCACATTCAAATTCGGCTACTTCAGAGAACCATAAATTGTTCTGATTGGTTGGCGTTTTATCCAAGGTTAAATAAGTCGTCCAATGAGGTTATTTCATGACCAAAACGTAAACACTTCTACCTCTACAGCCAGCCATTGGCTTAAAATGTTGAATTCAGTTTTCTTTTTGGCCACTTCCCATCAATCTGTATTATGCTACTGATGTGTACTGCACAACAATTCGCTTAGTTCACATACTTTTGACAACTATGTATAATCGCCAATGAATGTGGAACACTGAGAAAACTCGAGCGAGTGTCAGCTGTCGAGCGAATTACCAGTCCCTAACCCAATAACAGTCTGCCAACTCTCGGCTATCTCAAATAATCTCCCATCTTAATTGACTATACGAATAGGATTAGCAGGAGGAAACCTATTTGTGCTGACGGATAATCATATTACAATTCTTTCACATGCATAATAACTGTTCATTACACAGGATGGTGATTGTAGTGATATGATGACCCAATTATTAGTGGATTCCCGTTGCACATTTGACAGAACGCTGTACTAGTAATTCGGAGGCTGTTTGTTCGAATCCTGATGCCACTTAGATATTTACTTCACCTTCAGTCATTATCCATTACATGAATAACAGTCTGATAATCTTAGGTTATCCCATGTAGTTTCACTGTCGTCTACGAAATACTTTGAAACAATATATGTATTCAGTTGGGAAGTAGTTTCCATAGTTCGATATTCAAAAACGGGTGTCGGATTCAATGTAACTAACTAATGCGTTACTCCAAGTTTAATCACGCATTGATGTCAGTTAGAGAACCATTAAAAACCGAAGAGTACTGGACATTTGTTCCTTCCCAGTGTGGACCTCTTCAGTTGTATGCACGAATTATCCAACCAAAGCTTGAATCCATGGTCTTCAGGTTGCGAGTTGAGGTTGTTTACCAACTAACCCACTTGGGCTGAAGTCTAATGGCCCGTAAACTCTAGCCAGCCAGTAACCTGAGGTTCCTGGGTTCGACCCCTTGTGGAATCGCGAGTACACACTACTGAAGACTTCCAAACTAGGAAGAAACAGCTGTCCAGTACACTCTGCTGTCTGACTGATGTCAGCTCATGGCCAAACTTGAAAGAAGTCAGATCCCTACTAAAAACAATTAACACAATATTGTCATTTATTGTTCGATACTATGGTGATTGTTATATGCTATACTTTCTCTCTTAACACAAGTCATCACAAATTCCATATGTTCTCATTGATGAACACATTCTACTTTAACGGAATAATATGTCAAGCTTTGAGTTATGTATTCACTCTGTGTATATGAGAGCTGACAATACTCCCTGGCTAGCTAGTTAGCTGCCTAAGGTTGAAAATCTGATGGCACACTGCAGGAAGAATTTCAACCTGGAATCCATTGACACAGTGTAAAAGTTATAATCGATTAGATAAACGAACATATTCAATTCGTCTACCAACTTTTGTCTGTTAAAAATATGTATTAAAAGATATAAGTTTCTTTTTTTTTTAAATGGATGAATTTTGTCAATTTTAACATTTAAATAATTAAGTTAACAACAATTCATATATATGGATTGCATCATACCTCTTTTGTCATATACAACACACACACACGCATAAATGTACATATATAGGGGAATGTATGTGTCTATCTGTATGTACTTGTGCATGTGCATAGATGTATCCCTTTAACTTCAGTGAAACACACACACTCACAAACCGACTTTTCTAGATGACAAAATGAACTAATCTTCAATAAGTGTATTCACTTTTAAAGTGGGAGCGATGTGTATGTGTGTGTGGGTGTGAGGGGTGGGGCGGGTAAGTGCTTATGGTGGTTACTTCAACCGTCAGCTACCACCACAACAGCAATGGTATGTGAGTGTTTGTCTCCGTGTGTGTGTATGTGTGTGTGTGTGGACAAAACATATGTTGAAAACAGATAAAATGCAATATAACTAATCTCCTTTTCTACTTTTTACTTTTTTTCTCTTCTTACTTTTGACTACCTTGTAGTATTGTAAGACTATTCTGACTCTAATTTGAAAAGCGAAGATAGTGGGTTATCTGACTGACTGACTGGTTAGTTGGTTGGTAGGCTTAATTTGTTTCGCCATTGTTTTCAACTTTCTCTTAGGTATAGTGTCATTTTTGAATGTTTTGCTTTATAGGTTGATGTATCTTTCAAATTGGTGGTTTGCAGGGATTTGATTAATTTCAATTTAGATCACGAATTGAATTCGGATAGAAAACCTCCAAGGAGTACTGGACAACTGTTTCACCAGCACGCACCTATGACTCCACTGCTTGGAGTCGAACCCAGGTCATACGGCTGGCCTGTTAACCAATTCAACTACTAGCCAGTTTCATCAGCGGGTATTTTGTCCTCACTTGTCCAACTTGGTGAACAATATTACCTTCTCACTTGAACTCCAGGCTATTTCATTCAGTGATCAATCACTAATGAGCATAAGATTACTCCTCAAGTGGTGATTTCCAGAAATTCGCCTGGTTTCAAGTTAGGGAACTATTAAAAACCAGGTAGTACTTGAGGGTTATCTCGTCACTAGAATTTTAGACAACAGTATGGGCTGTTGGATTTCTTCCCAGGGATTGAACAGTAAACGATCTGGTCCCGTATCCTAAATGCCATAAGTGCGTGCTGCTGAAGAGCCAGTGCGAAAGTAGGACGAGACAACTATACGCACTAATCAACTGATTTTAAATGGTTCTCTAACTTGAAGTCATTTTGTGACCTGACATGAAGCGGTTGTCTGTCTTTCTTTAGACTATAATAATCGTAAGGTTTTTAAATATTATCTTATGAGAAACCATTATATTTATGTTTTATGACGAATGATAACTGTAGTGCTATTTGGTTGAATTTTTGTGGCACGTGTTTCGTCCTGTTGGCGATTCATCGGCTGGATATATCCATATCCTCCTAGTGATGTGTGGATTGTGTTGTTCCTGTTGTGGGATTCGAACTCAGCACTCTGATAATTAGTTGTACTTCTTTGTAGCGTGTATGACAGCTTGTAATTTGATTACTAGTGATGATTAGACTAGTTAGGCATCGTATAACCACTGGTGGCGTTCATCTGTGAAGGAGGTCTGGATCCGATTCCTCACGCCTAAACCCTGCCTAGTTTACTTAGTAATAGGCTCGGAAAAGAGGGTATATTAGATGTGTGAGGCTAGTGACACTACCGCTACTGAAACTCTACAGCTCAAAGTTTGGACCAATTATCGTTCCACTCGAAATGCAAGGGATGAAGAGAACTATTGTGATTGGGCATCATTGAGAATATATTTTAGCATGAACTCGTTCTCTTCTTTGTGAACCTTGATTGTGTTTGCATATTCTTACCTGAAAAGTTATAAGAGAGACAAGGAAAGGGAAATTTGAAGTTAACAGGCTCAGAAGGAGAGAAGAGAAAGGATGATGAAATTGGTATTTTCAAGAGTTGGTTTGTAAGGATTAAATTTGTTTTTACGAGTTTGACCACGGATTGATATCAGTTAGAGAACCATTGAAAACCAGCTGGGAGTACTGGACACCTGTTACGTCCTAGTTTGGGATTCATTAGCTTTACATGCAACCACTGGGTTTCGAACCCAGGACCTTCAGGTTACAAGGGAAGTTCGTAAACCACTCAGCCACTAGGACCCGACTCAGTGGTCAGCCCATGAATTCTAACTTCTACCGATTCGTGATTTTAGCGCGACCACCAGTCAGTGTCATCGGCGGGAACTCCATCCTCACTCCCGACAGGATGGACCTCACTAATCACGACTCCTCACTAGAATTCCAAGCAACTTCGTCCTGTAGCCAGTCACCAGTCGCGCTAAAATCACGAATTGTAAATAAGAAGCCTTTATATGTACGACTGCAATTCAAGGGTGACGTACCCAGTGAAATAATTACTAACAATTTGAGAAAATCCATTCAAAGAACTTTTAATGCTGGTAAAACTACAAGACCGGTTGTGATTCCTCATTTGTAAGATGAAGTACCTAAGCTAGCCATTTCAAATTGTATCTCCCACACCAACTGCACTTGTGCAGCAAGTTATATTGGCCGTTGTTCTAGGAACTTGATTTCTCGTGTTCTCTTCGAGAATACGTATCAGTATGGCTAAGTAAAGGTGTAGTAAAAACCATCAACACTTCGATATCAGACCACTTGGTCCGAACCAGTTATAAAGCTAGCATTGAAGAATCCTCCTGCATCATCTATCGGGTACCAGATAAGTCGCCAAAAGCATCCAGGCTCTGAAAACTTCAAACAACAGAGGCTTTTTCATTCTCCTGAAAACAACAGGTGCTCTGTGGACAGAAGAAACAGGTCCAACCAGCTACTATTACTGCTCTGACCTTCTGTGGAGCCTATAAATTGATGAATTCTGTATTATTATTATTATTATTTTTTTCCTAATTTCTCCGATATTCATTCAGTGTACTGTTGTGTTGATGTATACCATCATGCTTACACATGCTGTTGAACTGTAATCTATTGATATGGTTAATTCTATGTGATTTAAACATTAATGCTGTTAGTAACCCTAATTCTGTCATTTTTATGTATATATGTAACTCTAGAACCTGATGGAGAAGTTATCGAAACGTTTTTTGCTTGTGATTGTTTCAATGACTAAATTTCTCTCTCTTTTTTCTCTTCCCTTTTTTGTATTGATTTCACCAAAAAGCAGACATGTGTACATCATCGTCGTCATGACACCTTGTCAGCGCATCATTTGTCATTATCATCATCACCAATAAAATTAACTACTGGTGCCACCGCTTCCACTGGCGGCGGCAACCCAGAGACTCGTTCATTTCATCGTAATACCATTTCTACTAGCCATCATCATCATAATCAACATCATCATAATACTAAACTTGGAAAGTTTTCATCCATGATGTCATTTAATAAAATCTTTCATAAACCATCTTCATCTTATGCCGGTAGTGGTACAACAACAACAACACCTATCATTGAAACATTGAATGAAAATCTGTTCAATAGTCAATGTGATGAGCGTACAATTGCTGTAGATAATGATAACAATAATAACACATTACAAAAGCATAAAACTCAACAATGTCCACCAGTTTTATCGGAAATCAATAATTTGGCCTTTTCATTCGATGATGCAGAGATTGATCTACTGCAAAGTAGTCAAACCGGGCATAAAAATAATAATAAGAATAAGAGTAGTGAAAGACAAGAACATCATGATCGTGTCTCCTCGAACTGTCTTCATTGGCTTCAGTTACAGAATTCAAATATAGGTTACAATAACAATAATAATAATAATAGTGAGAATAATAATAACACTACTAATAATAGAAGTAATCAAGACCATAGTCTACGGCATTCTACATTTAAGTATTCATGCCCACAACTCATTGACACATCATTATCATCAACAATGAATCCAGGGAATTGGAATGCTGATTGTGATACTGTTGATGGTCGTCATGGAGGCGGCAGTCACCACCATCATAATCATTGTCAGCAGCAGCAGCAACAACAGCAGGTTACTCATCGTTCTCATGAAGGTAAAGACTGTTGCCAACAACACTGCTGTGTTGTTATGCATCATCATTTCAATCAACGATGTCAGCACATTCAGGAAGAAGGGGATTGTAAGCATAATGATAATAGTAATAATAATAATAATAAAGAGAAGAAGTCTATTGATTTGGGTGAGACTGTCAGTGATGATGAGGATATATCGAATCTACCGGAAGCACCATTACCGCCTGTGTACAATACCGCCGTCACCACTAATAATAATGATAATACTGATAACAACTCATCCTATTGTGATATTATTCAAGAACAGGATATTTGTCATCAAAAAATCTACGATAATATCATTGTTCTTAATACTAGTGATAATGATAATAGTAATAATGACGATGAAAGTTGTCATACACTGATTCGCCGACCACCAACTGTACCAACAATGACTGCACCATCAACAACTCTTTGTATAACTCATCAAAGATTCGATGCCTTAAAGCTATCTGATGGAGAAGAAGATGATGAATACAAAAGGGTGGTGGAAGAGCAGTCTAAGATGATGATTATCACATGTGAAAACAATTCTGATAGACGACAAGAAAATGTCGATGGAACAACAGTGAGAAGAGGGGATATTGATGAGATGTTGACAGTAGGCGGCGGAGAACAACAAAGGCAGTCGCAAGCAACTACTAATGCTACTGCTGTCAGTACTTGTGAAAATTCACCTGTCTTAATGAAACAGTTAATGTCAACTGTATCATGTTCATCAGATATGAATTTATCAGAGATGATTGATAAACGCAGTGGCGTCATTATAGTAGATAATAACATAATAATACTACCAATAATAACACTAATAGTACTAAAGATGATATTGTCAAAAAGTGTAAGAATAAATCACAAACTCTAATTCTACCCAGACTACCATCATCACTATCGTCCTCAGCGTCAACATCGTCGTCTAAAATGTATCTACACGCTAGACATGCTAGCCTGCCTAATCCAAATATTTCTAATACTACTAATAGTAATAATAATAATAACAACAGTAGTGGTTGTAATGTTAGTACTAGTCGTTGTGGTCATAGTGATGTTGACGATATGGATGTCAGTATGTCGTCTACTGCTGTTACTCCAGCAACTTGTAGAAAAAGTCAAGAAGAGAATTTATTTCGTCAACAGCAGCAACAACAACAGCTACAAAAGAAATTATCTTCTGATTATTTGTGTAAAATACATCGTAATTTAAGTAATTCATCGGATAAAAGGAATACTGATGTTCTGGATATGATTACAGAGCATGCACCATATTATAATTTATCAAGTCCTGAAGTGAGTCACCTTTGTTTTGTTTGTTGTTTTTTTTTAACTATAATTTTTGCTTCCGATGACATCATTGTATATGGTAATTTTAAAGTCCAGCAGTGTATGTATTTGGATACGATGCTGGAAGGCACGTTGGATTGAGTGTAGTTGTCTTAGAACTCTGATTTCAGTGGCTTGGGCATGCGCTTGCTGTGAATATCATTCCAGGGGCTTCCGTGTATGTGGGTGTTCTCTAGCCCTGGGACTGGATAGAAAAAGTGGGGGTGGCCAGCCCATGCATGCATGACGTGGCGCCATGGGCTGAAGGATACTTTTGTAGTAGTTAGTAGTATCAGTTGGTACGTTACGACTCCTTGGTTATCGAGTTCATGAAATAGATCCGATACATAATTATATGGTCAGGAAGCGCAGTCAATGGCGAACTTGCTGTGAAATTTCCTTCTTATTTAATAATAATAAAAATAATTTGCTTTATTCCAAAACAGTACTTGTGATATAGAATGGAATTCTCAGCATTTTTACTACAGTATTGCATCCAGTTAGTACATTATCAATAAATAGAATTCTACATAGATTGAGGAAACCAACAGTTCATTATTACAACAATACATTGGCATGTCAGTAGCAAAGGTAAAGCTGAAACAGTGTTTGAAGGTGTTAGAAAAGTGGGAGCTGTCTTATTAACAGGCGTAAGCGAGAGAAAGAAACAGAGCAGCACATAACGGAAAAAGAAGAGAGAGAAAAGGAAAAGAAAGAAAACTTTGTACCTATAAATGATATGAGTTGGAAAGACGAGATCCAGTTATTCTGCTGACTATTTAATAAGTTATAGGTGTCACGCCTAATGCTTTCTTTATCACACAGAACACGAGCTAAGTAGGGTATGGTTGAGTTTTTGTACTTGCTGGTGCGAGCATATAGTTTTCTATATTGGCTTCTGGTTTTACCTGATGAGATGCAGGGGGAGAGTTGTGAGTGAAGAGGGTGGTGTGAGTTAGATAAAATGGATTTGGCCCATTTTTCACATGAGTCCATGTGCCTGTCAACCAGAGTATTAGCAAGCTGGTTAAGTGGCACGTTGCTTACCCTGCTAACAACATTTAACATCCTGCATAAAATGTTATAGTCTTTCTTCAGTAGCCCAGGAAAAACTAAGGGGGAACAATACAGAATAATAGGCAGGATGCGAGAATTGACGAATTGTAGGAGTAAGGGTTGGGTAATACCAGAATGTTTTAACTTCTTGATGTAGAAGGTAAGACGGAATATTTTCTTAGAAATTGCTAAGATATGAGACGACCAGGAGAGATCAGCGGATAGAATGACACCTAGGTATTTAATTTCCGATTTAGTTTCTATTTCAGTGCCGTCTATGTTGCATACCTCGTGAGAGCCAAACAGTTTGTTTAGGTCGGATATATGCCTAAAGGTGAAATTGACCGTTTGGCATTTGGAGGGGTTTAGGGTAAGACCATTTTCCTTGGACCACTGGCTGATTTCTGACAGAAAGCCATTAAGTTTAGAGCAGTCGCTTTGACATTTGACAGGCAAAGATACAGACAGATCGTCAGCGTACTTGACAAAATTAATGTCATTTGAAGATGGTAAGTCATGTAGAAAGAAAGAAAAGAGAAGTGGGGAGAGTACAGCACCTTGGGGGACTCCGGCTTCAGTGAGTACAGCAGAGGATGATTTACCTTTGTACACGATGTACTGCATTCTGTTTGAGAAGTAGGAATGCAACCAGTTAGTGACCCAAGACTCAGTTTTCGTCAAAGAGAGCTTATTTAGCAGGAGACATCTAGGAACAGAGTTGAAAGCAGAAGTGAAGTCAAGAAACGTGCAGCGGACGTACTTGGTACCTTTATCTAATGATGAGACAATGTTGTTGTGTAAGACAGCTGCAGCGTCTAATGTACTCCTACCCTGTCTATAGGCAAATTGTTTTGGGTCTTCGAAGTTTTTAAGGGAGGGTTCGAGTTTAAGAAGTATTAGTTTTTCCATAAGCTTTAGGAACGGGGAAGTGATGGCAATGGGTCTGAACTTTACGTTCTTGCCGTTTCCAGGTTTAGGGACAGGGACAATTTTGATGTCTTTCCATGCGTCAGGTACGATATTTTTAGAGAAAGAAGCATTTAGATGTTGGTTAGTGGAGAACACAACGCATCTGCACATTGTTTTAGAACATAGGCAGGTATACCATCAGGACCAAGGCTACGTGAGGGCTTGAGTGTTTTAAGACATTTTAGAACATCGAGAGTATTAAAGTCATGAAAGTTTTCAGCTACATGATAGGTAACATTAGAAGTAGTTAAAGTAGAAGGACAGCGTATACAAGACTGATTAAGAGCATTAACATCATAAGAGGGAAAAGTATTACAACACCTTCTATTACCAGTAATTTCATTGAAAAGTTTCCACACACTGATTGGAGATTTACATGATAAAAGTGTATCATTATAGATAGCATTAAGATTTTTGATTTCAGATTTGATCTGAGCATTAATCTTTTTGAGTCCTAACTTGTCTTTGGATTTGAATAAAGTTTCTTTTTTCCTGCGAAGTTGTTTGAGATAAGGAGAGGAGAAGCGGTCGAGGCGTTTGAATAGAGTTTGTTTGGGACAGCATATATCAAGGCAAAACTTAAGATAATCCGTTATATTGACAATTGTGTCATCTAATGAACTTTTATGGAATAAGTCCCAGTTAGTATTTTGTAACATGCTCCTTAGATTGAGTAAGTTTTCGGATGAGTAGCATCTTTGTTGTGCTTTCATAGACAGATGCGAGAAGACTTTAATATGTGTTTTGCTGTAAATTTTTGGTAGAACACGAACAATAGAGTGATCAGAGTTGAGGATCGGTGCACGTTTACGTGCTTCATAGATTCCTTGGTCATTTGTGAAAACTAAATCAAGTGTTTTGTCTAGTCGAGTGGGAAATTTGACAATGTTAGAGTGACCAAGTGCTTCAAGGAAGGAGCAATCTGACGAGTTGAAGTCCCCAGTAATAACAATAGAGAGTTATCGAAGTTGGCGGCAGCAAACATGGTGAATCCATCAGCAAAATTTGAAAGATTAGATAGTGAGCAACTTGGAGATATGTACATGTTTGTGATAAAGATGTGTTTATATTTGGGGAGATGTTTGGGACGACATTTGACGGTGATGCAGTCTATGAAGTCATTTGAGAATGAGAAGCAAACATTATTAGAAATAGACCATTTTGAGTTAATGAAAGTTGCTACTCCACCCCCATTTTTCTTATTACAACATTTTCGGTCTTGTCTAAATAGGATGAAGTCCTTTAGAGAGATGAGATTGTCATCGTACAGTTCGTGTAACCATGTTTCTTGTAATGTGATTATCGCAGTATTGTGATAAGTGTCAGTGGACATCAAGTATTGTAGGTACATTATTTTGTTTGGCAGGGAGCGGCAGTTAGTGTTCATTATGACAGGGACCGTAGTTAAGTGTATTGGTGTACGTTTAAGAGCTCTTTGCCAGCCACTACGATGCTTCCTCCTTGATTTCTTGGGAATATGAAAGTTATTGGGTCGTAAATGAATGATAAAGTTGCGAGAGTAAATGATCCTTTTAGAATTCATATTTGGGTGATAAATAAATGGAGTAAATGGTAGGTTGGATGCAATATGTAGATTTTATGGTAGCAGGCCCAAAAATTCAAACAGGCCGCCAAATCAACATAGATATCGGGTAGATATCCATTTCTGAAGGTAACGTGAAGTGAAGAGTGTTCAATAATCTTGACAAAGATGCTGGTTTGCCTTCTGAATGAAGTCCTTCATTCATTCATTCTATCCCTACTGTCTCTATATGTTATTATTATTATTTGTGTGGCGCATCTCTTGGTATCCATAATGTAGAGCAGGCTTGTGTTCTAAATCAATAAAAAAAATTGGATACTTTTTGCTCAAGAATGATATTTATTGTGGTTTTCCTATCATTCATTGTATAACTTCTCGAAATATATATATATATATATATATATATATATATAAGTAATTCACTATTAAATGGGCTGATTTTTACAACGACTTACCACATACATGATGCTTTTACACGTCACATCATCATATATATATATATATATATATATATGGGCTTAAGTCTTGTGTACTTACATGGAATACAAAAGTATCCTTCCTCTGAATTATTGTGGACATTTTGTTTTCATCCAGCCATCTCAATTGCATCTTTGGGGAAGATAGATTTCAAACTGATTCATCATATACATTGTCCTTGTGTTCGTGATTTATTATATTTCCGCTAATATAGCCTTTCAATTTTCTTACTGATATGTTTATCCACTTAAGCGTTATTATAATTGGGTTCTGAGTGGAACATAGAGCTTCAGCGGCATATATCTCCACTTCACTCTATTCATCGCAGTCTTAACCGGCTGCACAGCGCTGACAAGCTTTCATTTCCTGCTCATGAGATCTCCATGTCACCCTTGGATGCGCCACACCTCATTTCCCATTCAGGCTGCACTTGATGACCTGACAAGTTGAACAGTCTTCATTTCCTTCTGTTTAATGATTGGTTAGTTCATTTCCATATTTGCGAATGTTTTCTGGCTGACCATCTAATCTTCATTATCAATTGAAGGAAGCTATTGATGAAATTCGGTAGCAACCTTTTGGAAATACTTTTCATGACACACCAAGTCTTTGAATGATATAGAGAAACACTAACTTGACATTGGTGTTGATAATTTCTTATACTACTGAGTGCCAGGGGATTTAAACATTGATTTCAGACTAACGAATGTTTTAGCTCTTCAGATTTTGCCTTTAACATCTTCATCTGCGCTAGACAGTTATACACTCAAGTATTGGTTTGTAGGGATTTCATCATGAGTTGACGTTGGTTAGAGAACCATTGGAAAACCTGGGAGTACCGGACAGCTGTTTCGTCCTAGCGCTTGAGACTCTTCATCAGTACGCACCCACCGGTGTTCGAACCCAGGACCTTCTGGTTACAAGGCAAGCTCATAGACCATTAAGCCACTGGGACCTTATCCAAATGGCCCATGAATTCCAACTTCTGTCAATTCACGACATAGTGCGACCGCCAGCCAATGTCTTCGGTGAGGATTTGTCCTCAAACCCGACCTACCACACCCTACTGGTCACGAATTCCTACTAAAATTGAGGTAACTACCTACCTGCATAGGGCCAGTCGTCGCTAGTGGACATCTCATTTGAGTTATCGTACAATGACCAAGCCAGTAAAGGCGAAATCATAGTTGTAGATCAGACAGATAATGTGGTGCGTAGAAAAAAATGCAATGAAGAAGATGGAATGATAAATGTCGCTTCATAAATCGCTCGTTTCTAGAATTCACCATTTGAATGGATTAGTGATGCAATTATAATGTATTGTGTACAGATGGATTCTCAGTCTTGTCTTAAACTACTCATTATTTCACAAGCTGGATATGCTTGAAATTCAGTAGCTACTTTCTTTACTATTCGCTTGATGGTTAGTTAACGTCAGACACGTGTTCAGTGTATCAGGCTATGAGTCACAGTTACTCAGTGTGAAAACCAATGATTCTATCCAACTGGAAAGTAGTTGAATTGGAACTCGAACCCAGGGTGTACGTGGCTAAATGTTTAGGCCAATAAGTCATTTCTTCACTCTTTACTGTATCTTGATGACCATTTCGTGTTATACACTGGAAACACAAGGAATATATATAAAGGGTTAGTATGTTGTTTTGTTTTTCCTATTTTAGGCGTTAACTCATCTTCATTGCAGTGGATTGTGTACATCACAAACAATCACCTCGTCCTCAGTACCCAAGGAGTATAAACAAAGATGTATTCATTCATCGTCTAGTGTATCATGTCTTCCAACTACTGTTACTGATATTCGATTAACTCGTCAAACAATCGATGATAAATCATCACTCATACTGCATGATTCACAATGTTGTAATGATTATGCATTACATAAGAAAGAATCATCTACGCATAGTATGCCTGTCTCCTCCTCCTCCCCCACTTCCTCCTTTCCCTCTTAATCATCAACCCTCATCATCATCATCGTCGTCAATCTCAATGTCAGCAACTATGGTCAATAGTAGTAATAATGGTTCTTTGACAATGTCAATGCCAACAACCACGCTGACGACGACGACAACAACAACGACAACTGTTCCACGTAGACTAAACACTATTGGACATCGTCGATATTGTGAAAGGCCTACAAGTATGCTGCATTATGCTACTTTAGATTTTGGTCCAATTACATCAGATTTACATGTATACAGAAATGAAAATACAACAGTAGATACGACAACAACAACAGATCATCATCATCATTCTAATGTGTACAATAATAATAATAGTAATAGTAATAACAATACCACTTATGATGGTCATAATTCACATTATAATTCTAGTCATATTCAAAGATGTTGTACTATGACTACTGATAGTAGCAGTAATAGTAATAATGTCAATAGTTCCCATCATATCAATGATAATTATTGTTCACGTATTTATGGAACATTAACTGATACACTGCATTTACAACATATGCTAGATTCGCCTAGTCAAAATAATCATTTTTCAAGGTATACAACCATATCGAATACTGGCACTACTACTTCGACAACAGCAACAATCACAACAACTCCTACGAGTCATAATAATAATGCTCACGACGATGATGTATGTCATGATGATGGGACAGATTCTGATCTGCCATCGAATTATGTGGCTATCTGTCAACTGCAAACATTGGCTATGCGTGCAGTATTAAGTGCAACTACCTAATGAGACTGTGCAATAAAATACCCCCTTCTCCTCCTCCTCTTACTACTAATATTAACAGTTGGTCAGTCAATACTCCATGAATATTTACAAAAAAGTAGTTTTTAATAAAAATGAATAATATTATGTAACTTTTTATTTTCCCAGTTTTTGTTTTTTTCTAGTTTTTATTACCTGCCTTATATATAATTTTTGAAATTAGGCTGCAAAAACCCACCAACTAGGGGAAATGAATTCTCATTCTCTTTTCTTGTCAATATTTTTAAAAATATACCTACAACAAATATATAATATATATATATATAGGATGGATGATTTCATGATGATTTTTATGTACCATTTTACACTTCCATCTTCCTGTCCCTGCGTCTTTCGCTCTCTCCCTCTCTCTCTGAATACCCTCCAACCCCGGCTTCCTCAGAAATCTTTCCATTTTCTAGTCAGTCATTCTGTTGTTGTTGCCGATTTCTCTTTGCCTAAATGGTCGTCAATGCCCCCCCCAGCCCCAATACGCATCCTCAGCTTCCTTTAAAACCCTCATAACTTTCTAGTCAGTCATATATACGTACATGCAGACCCCCAGACACAATTACTTATGATAATATGTTTTGCTTAATGTAAAGTATTTTACAATAAAGTTGACATTTTCTACCACTATTATTATTATTACTATTATGATTTATCATGTTAGTGTTTGTAGTAGTAGCAATAGTGATTATGTTGATTGCATGAACCGGACTAATATAGCAGAGTTTATTCACATAACTCTGTCTGTGTTTTTTAATCAGTGTACATCTTGTTTGTTTTTCTTTGCATTTTGTTCAATATTGAAGGAACTTGTTTGTTTGTTTTATTTTTAATCACAACATTTAGGTGATTTTGTTTTTTCATTTATTTTTACTTTTTGCATGATGATATGTCTATCTCTTTGTCTCTCTCCCTAGCCTGACTTTTTATTTTGAAAAATCAATAAAAGATGTTTAATTCCCCGGATATATTTTTCCTCATTGTGTTCTCTTTTTTTGATCCCTTATTTATGATTTGTTTTCAATTTTTTTGGTTACTTATTTCTATAAGACACATCAATAGATATCTTTTTCATAGGTGTACAATTTTATTAATGATGACAGTGAATAAAGGGGCACCATTGATCATCAAATCAGTTCTGTGTGTGTGTGTGTGATTGGCTCATAATAATCAGCAAACACAACTGGAATCTGCCAACAAAATAAGTCTGGGCTGGTGTGTGTGTGGCCTTCACATAGCTGACAATCTAGTCTAGGCGCCCTGTTATAATACATGATTTTCTTTGATTTTCGTTACTGACATCAACATGAATCACAGTTGATGATGATCACTTTGATTCAGTACTCATGGTGTGTGTGTGTGTGCATCTACACACTACTCTAATTAGTAGTAGTTGTGGTAATTAATAGTAGTCTCATCAGATGTACTCTGCATTTATGTAACATTGACTTTTATTACTTACTACTTCTTTTTTCTTAAATTGAATGTTTGTGACATTGTTGTGTTTTAATTATTGAAGATCATCACACTTTTTAAAAAAAGTTTTAAATTCTTCTTCTGTGTATTTTATTTTTTAATTTTTCATTTATTATTTTAAAACAAAATAAAGGAAATTAATTAGAATATGTAGTCCTTATGATTATTATTATTATTCTTTTTTACCATCAAATAATTACTTCCTTCAATCAATTTAGATAGTTTTCTATAGAAAATTAATCTGATGCTCGCTAGTGACTTGCTGCAGGATGGAGTTTCCTGGAGTTCTAGTGAGAAGTCGTGACCAGTGAGGTCTAATTAGATGTCACGTGTGTGGATGGATGTCCCACCAACGACAATGGTTGGGGTCGCGCTAAATCACGAATTGGTAGAAGTTAGAATTCATGGGTTGGCCATTGAATCGGGTCCCAGGGGCTGAGTGGTATACGAGCTTCCCTTGTAACCTGAAGGTCCTGGGTTCGAAACCCGGTGTGTGCGTGTAAAGCTGATGAGTCCCAAACTAGGACGTAACAGGTGTCCAGTACTCCCAGATGGTTTTCAATGGTTCTCTAACTAATATCAATCCGTGATCAACTCGTAAAAACAATTTAGATAGTATTTTATTAGAAGACAGAGATTGTTCAAGATGATGTATTGTCGTATTTGTGCAATAATAATACATTTTGAACAATCTGATCCCTCCTCACATTATTCACTTGTCAAATCGATTTAATACGAAAAATGAGAAAGGCTAATTAAAAGAAATAAAATGTCGTAGGTTATTTAATTTAATTTGGACTTTCCCGTTGATATATATTGTATATTGGACCGAAGTGATTATTGGCCACTGTTGACATGTCGGCTGTTTATGGAGATGCCTTGGACAAGAGGTAACTCTTGTGCTTTGCCGTTTGAAACTATGGGCACTTGGCTCGAGTCCCAGTGGGAACACTGTCATTCACTGGAGAATGCAGGTACATCATCCAGCGACGAGTCCCGAATAGGACGAAATGCGCATCCTGGATTCCACTAATTATCACTATGTTTGGTAATATAAACAGATAAGGATTACTGAGGTAGGTTACGGGTGATAAATAAATTGTTTTTGTTCACACAGGCTGGAAGGGGCTTAAGTTTACAGAAAGCTTTCACCTCCGCTTATTTCAGTAGGCGCCCTTGACTGTTTTATGTAGATAATCGCGAAAGATGTCTTGGTATCAGTCTTGTGATTCATATCAAATGAATGTTATGTTTATGGACGAAGTTGGTAGTCTGCCGACTGCTTTTGTTGAGATTTTACAATTCATTTACTTTCCCAGCCATTTGGGTAGGTATTCTTCCATTTTTACACATAAAGTGCGATTGCTCCTCACTATGGATGTGTGACCACACACACACACATGTAAATTGGAATGTAGTTGCGATGTGACATAATCATTTGTGTAATGTTAAGGCATGTGGTAAAGCATATTTTTGGCTTTTTCGATAATTATGAGTCAGGCTGCATAGTATTTGTGTTACGAATGGCTGAATTTAGTCTCTATCTTCATATCCTACTGTCGGTTTCCCCATTTCAAAGTAATTTGATATAAACATCTTTCTTTGGGATAAAATAAACTGTAGGCTTTGAAACGAACTAACCTCTACAGCAGTTCAAAAATTTGAAAGGATATCTATTTTTGACAAGTTTATGTGTCAATACAAACACACTGAATCCTCTTGAATAAACACTTAACTATTTCTCTGTTATATTGTAATAGACATAAATAGTGAAAATGTCGATTGAAGAGGAATATACTGGTATTGCACTGACGGCTGGACGAAGTTGCTTAAAGTTCTGGTGCAAAATCGTTACAAATGGGATCCACTAGGTCGGGTGTAAGGAAAAATTTTCGTCTATGACAATGACTGTCTATGGCGCTAAATAGCACGAACTGATGGAAGTTTGAGTTTCCACTCATGGGTTTTAGGATTAAGACCTCATTTCAGCCTGAATAGCTGGGTCTTTCATTAGGTCTGACACAGTATAGATGTGGGTTACAGCCATGTTCAACGGAAACCTCTTTCGGCGAATTGGTTTCTAACTCAACCTGTTACTATTTTTATTTCATTCATAAAGACTATGGGTAGATGATAATTGAAAATCCAGCAAAATTTGTCAAAGTGTTGTGTTGAATCATAAGAGTTTTCATATCACTGGATGTTCGAATCTTCAAGAAACTAAAAAAGTACTGTTGTGATGATCATTCTGGAGGAATTATCCTGTATGTCATATGTCAATCTTAAGGTACATTTCCATGATTATTTATTAGTAACTTCTAAATTATGAAGTAATTAAATTTTCTAACGGTTAGCTTCTAGAGATTCGATATATCAGTCACAACCTAGATTTCCTTTCAAACATGACATTGTAGGACCACTGAAAATCAGGAAGCACTCTGCAGCTGGTTCGTCTTAGCTTGACAGTCTTCAGGTGTACGCACCTATTGTCAAACTAGTACTTAGGCTCATTTCCTCCAGGGTATGAGCGATCACGTTAAAAAGTTAGTGGGAAAGCCGCTGATTTGAAATCCAATGGGATACAAAAGATAAACATACTACTACTCGGTTTCGATAACACCGGCAAATTTTAATGGGGGCTGATGTGACCAGCACTAATAATTCTAAGGTTCGATACAGGGAAGCAGTAGGTGACTCGTCCAAAGGCCGAATATAAAATACTGGTTTTCACTCACTTTTGACCCTACCCTCTCCTCCAGAGCCTAAATAAGTAAAGACAGACTAAAATATCGAAAATAAAGACCAAACCCAGTGTTGTCTTCGCAATGCCAGAACAGCTGAAAGTAGGCAAGTAAGTTATCAAATCATGTGCCATGAACTGACCCTAGTATTTATTTATCTTTTATTTTATTATTGAAGCTTGATTCCACACCGTATTTTGGTACAAGTATGGAATTTTCAGCATGTGATAACGGTAGCCTAAATTTCGCAGGCCAACTATTGATATCAGGTGTGCGTTGGCAGGGGATCGAACCCCGAACCATGTGCATGGTCGGCGAGAGTTCTAACCGCTGTGCTACCGACGTAGTCAAAAATATTCAGGAGAAGAATTATTCTCAACAAAATATAAAGGTAGGGATAAGAATATTAAAATCGAACGGAAGAAAGTGAATTGTGGCTAAGTTGAAAATCCAATTATAAGAAAAAGTATGAAAGCTTTGAGTTTTCGAGATGTAAAGCTATACCGACCGTGGCTTCTAAGTGGAACGAACTTTACACCACCTATACCGGGTGGTACCTCTGTTAGGATTGATATAAATACCAGTCGGGAAACATATTATCATATATTCAGAAAAGCCAAACAGTAAGGTTGAAGAATTTAAAGACAAATGTCGATAGTAGATGTGAAACAGTAAGGTGAAAAATTAGGCTGAAGTAAGATAATTTATTATAGTTGAAACTGTCATGCTGGTGACTGTGTAAAACAACTTATCTAGGCTAGCCACTAGCAATAATAAGTCGAAAGGTAGATAATCTAAATACTACTTACATTGTAGACGGATGCACTTTGATAATAAGTTTTTATAATGGAGGACATTTGTAGCTCAGGTGGTGATTTTGATTTAGTTATGTTCCCTAAGCTAATCACTGATGAATGTGTTTTCATCAAAAATGTTTCAATGCCAGCTTACTATGACTCTGGGTAAAATCCCCCCTAATAGTTGATCTATTTGCATACCAAATAAGAAGATGTGAATGATCTACAATGAAATGTAGATATTTGGGAAATTAAATTACGACTGAGTACTTTATACAAGTGTAGGCACTTCATTTTGACTTAGAAATAGGGTACTTGTCACTAAATGAATCCTTCGAGTTGATCTCATAGGTTAATAACACAGAAGAGCACGGTGATTAGTTTCAAGTTTTTGAACAAGAAACTGTTCCATAGGTATCCAAAAATGAGTACTGGTATTCTCACTTTTATTAAAATTGGTTGATCTTCATCTTTGTAAGTTATTAGAAGCAAGTGTGTAGTTATACATGTTGCTCATAACAATATCAACAACTATTCAGTTAATAGCTTTACTTTACCTGAAGTTGCCTACTATAAGAATTTAGGAGTGTTTGTAAACCATGATACGGAAACCGCAGCTAACAATTGTTGGGAAGCAGTTGCCAAAGGTTTTAGAAAATTATATGCTGTCCATATGGTCTTTTTAAGTTCTGATGCTGATGTATTTCTTACATCATGTCGGACCATATATGGAAAACAGAATCCAGGCAACGTGCTGGTTCTTCAAATGAGAAGCAGATAAATTACAAGGATTCTAAGGGTGAGGAATAAAAGAGACATTTATTTGATTGGAATTATTCCTAATTTCGTGTCGGCTGCTGAGAATTGATCTCACAGAAGCACATAGATTTTTGTGCCTCTTTCTTTCTTCTTGAACAACTTTGCTTAAACCATTTGTTGGGATATCATGTGCAAGTTTAAAAAAAACGGCTGAATCGTCTATATCTAGAAGTTCGTTCCTCTCATTTGGTTGTTTAACCAGGTGGATTCTGTATGTGAACTTGCCGTAATAGTACGTTCTTTAGATGTTAAGATTGGATGCCCACCGTACACCAGATCGACAGGATTGATATAGGCCTGCTATTCCTAGCAATTTGTGAATTATAAAATATATTCCTATAAGTGTGAGACCAGATGTTTAGTGACATGAAAAATCATTACCTTAACATGCTAAGGTTACCTCAGTAACACAGTCTAGGAACGGTGGAAACATAACCACGACTATGGTTATCAAAAAGTTGCAATTTAAAGTTCACTAGACTGGTATCTACCGTCACTAAGATGTAACAAACAGTTTAGCTTTATGTCCTAAAGTATATCGATAACATAAAATGCACCAACCTTTGATTATTTTGGAATACCATGTGTCAAATATCTTCATATTATTTCAGTCCCATTATTACAAAAAAGTGGTGAAGCTTTACAACATAAAGTTTATTTCCAAATAATTTGGAAGAAATATAAGACAACTCTTTAATAGCTGTACACACCGAATGCAGACGCTACACAGAATAATGAATCATTTACAAACGAAGCTTCCGCAAAATTGTCAGTATCAGCATCCCAATAACATCTATGAGCCATCTTAACACCTTGGCCTTTTTGCTCTCCGATAACGACCTGTACCAAATATCTGTAACGTTTCAGAGATAAGCTCTTCTTTAATGTTTGTTTAATTTCATCTGCTAGGGCGATACACTTTTCTGTACAAAAGTGTAACTACATTTTTTGCATACCATGAGTATTATCAGGAGAATACACTTCATTTTCTAGTCGTTCTCGTAATATTTGGGAAAGAATACCTTTTACAGTCCATGGTCGGTATTTTTGGTCAAACTGAGGTCTTATGACATAAGAGTTAGGCGTTCCATCTGAATTTTTAACTTGACCAGAAGACTCCATAGTGTTGAAATTTCCACCTATCGTTGTCATATCAACAGCGTTTCGATGTCCAATATCCAATAACCTGATTACGAGCTAGTATAAACCAGTGATTTCTTTGAGCTCACTTCTTGATTGTAAGGTAGAGGTTCCAGATCTTCGGTGAATTTATGCGTATTAAGTCCCGCCACTCGACTGCTTTAGCTCTGGTAGACTCCAAGAGGAGTGGTGCGAGGATTGGTCAAGAAGTGGTTTGTAGTGTGCAGTATGTTAGGACTGAGTTGCTGCCGTGAATGGTCATTCGGTGTAGTCATAAAAGCAGAATAGTAATAATAATAATAGGTTGTAGTGTAGATGATTTAGGTTGAGATAAGTGAAATAATAAAGGTGACCTAAGGAAAAGATAGAGTAGTCGGTACAGCGAGAGAAGACAGAAGGGGTCATGGGGATTTAGCTTGTATGCTTATCCATTGACAATGTGGTTTCAAATTTTAAGAGGATAAGCCATTGAGACACAAACCATGCATTTCCGCATGATTGTCCAGCTTCCGCTTAAAAGTCTCCACAGATGGCGCTGTAGTCACGGCCGCCGGTAAAGCGTTCCAGAGACGGCAAACTCGAAGCGAAAAGAAATGTGAACGCACTCGAGTCTTTGGTCTCTGGTGTGCTATCCTTAGCGGGTTACCTCGTGGAAGCCTATAATCACTTAATGGCAGGATGTGTTTATTAGGGTGGGCCTGGTCATTTAAGATCTTATAGACGGTGATGAGGTCTCCCCTGTGACTACAGTAACTAAGTGTGAAAAGACTTAATTTCTTCAGTCTTTCCTCATATGATTTGTTGCGGAGGCCGATCACCCATTTTTTCGCTCGTCTCTGGACACTTTCTAGAATGTTAGCATCCCTTTTGAGTAGCGGAGGAGCAATGATATTATGCACCTCAAGGAGTGGCCTCACGTATGTCGTATACAACCTTAAGAATAGTTCGGGAGTAAGAGCTCCCAGCTGCCTATGCATAAAGTGTAAAGTTGCGTAAGCTTTGACGACGTTCCTCGTGTAATTTACACTGGTGTCTAGCTTTTCTGTTAAAATAAGGCCTAGATCGCGTTCTGATGGCACACAACTCAAGTTCTGGCCACCAAGGGTGTAATTTGCACTCTGTGACCTGCCGGAATGAAGTTGCACTACTTTGCACTTCTTTAAGTTGAAAGGCATTCCGTTAGCCAGAGCCCAGTCTCCTAGAGTTTGCAGGTCAGCCTGCAATCTGTCGGAGTCTTCCGATGAGTTTATTGCTCTCCAAATCTTTACGTCGTCAGTGTAAAGAAGCGCAGAGCAGTTCAGTTGACAGGGCAGATCGTTGATAAAAACCAAAAACATCAACGGCCCTAAGATAGAACCCTGAGGAACCCCTGATGCCGAGGTGTGCCAGGATGATCGGATGCAGTTGACTTTGGTGCAGAATTCTCTCTCGCCTAAGTAATCTTTCAGCCATGCGAGAAGTGCTCCAGAAACACCCGCCTTGCTTATTTTGTGAAGGAGCAGACCATGGTGAACTGTGTCGAATGCTTTCGCAAAGTCGAGGAAGATCACATGGACTGGTACCTTTACGTCTCAGGATAGTGTCCAATCGTTCCAAGCTATTAGGAGATTCGTCACACAGGATCTTCCCCTTCTGAAACCGTGCTGTGCTTCATGGAAAAGGGTTGTCCCGTCGAAGTATTTTCTCATGTGGTCGTCAATGAGACTTTCCAATATCTTCGATACCACTGGAAGTAGCGCAACTTGTCTGTAACTGGTTGCATTCTGCCGGACACCACCCCTGAAGATACGGGATAGGATGGCTCGTTTCCATTCACATGGAAGTTTTCCTACATCAAAGGAGTGTTGAAACAGATCACTTAGGGGTTGGCAGAGACTTTCCGAACACTGCTTCAGGACGGATGGTCTTATTTCATCGCAAACTGCAGACTTTCCCGAAGCCAGCTTTCCCAATTTTACGAGTACCATAGCCGGGGTAATTTGAAATGTACCCAGCAGGTTTCCGCACGTTGGTTTTGCATTGTAATCTTGATGTTTTGTGGGGGTAAAATCCTCGTTACTGTTTAGTTGCCTGTGAAAAGCTAGACTGAATGTCTCTGCCATTTCACGACTAGTAAGAGATTTCCCATCAGAACCCACTAGATTGCAAGCCCCCTGATTGGTCGGTTTTCTTTCAGACATAAACCTGTATAGGCTTTTGGGGTTCACGAGAAGCTTATTGGCGAGGTTTCTCTGAAATGTCCTTCTATCACTCCGGAGCCGTATGTTACATCGATTCCTGAGTTCAAGGTACACTTCATGTTCAGGTTGACTCAAGGTTTGACGCAAACCAGGCTTTTCGCTTCGCCTGTAGAAGGCGTTGTGTCCCCCTTTTTAGCCATGAACGTTGCTTCCTAGCTTTTGGTGTGACTAAAGGAACAGTGTCTGAGACCGTCTGGTGAATGATCTCCTTTACCACTCCTCAGTGTTCTCCTACTGTTAGCTCTGTCCAGTTTTTTGGCCAATTTGCTTCTGACAAAAGTCTTCGCATTTCGGTGTAATTGGCTTTGTTATAACACAGATAGGGCTGTGTGTTGTGCCACTGTAAACGCTCGCGGTGGACTATGTCGAATGTTATGACCACGTGGTCACTACTACCTATGGGAGTCGTGATCTGAACGTTTTCCACTAGTAGCTGGTCACTAGTGAGCACGTAATCCAGTCTAGAAGACTTCCCATCTGGGCCCCATCTAGTATCCATTCTGACATTTTCAGTGAATCCAGCCTCCCTGATGGTATGCAGCAGATTTCGATCAAATCTATCATGGGCATATCCCGTCATCAAGTTAAGAGATGGGGCATTGAAGTCGCCAGCTATGACAATTTGATCATAACCCATGTCTTGTGTCGCTGAAATTGTATTCAGCAGTACCTGGTTGTGGTCTGCTCCACATGAAGGTGATCTATAAATGCTGCCCACTAGATATTTACAGTACCCAACGGTGAAATGGCACCATATGGAGTCAGGGAGCTCAGTGAGGGGAGGGTCGAATGCATGGACACATCTGAGCTGTTTGTCGACGTATATGGCGAATCCACCTCCTTCTTTCAGGTCCCTATCTTGCCTGACTAGGACCATATCATTTATACTGACTTCGCTGTCTGCCACCGTAGGGGTTAGCCAGGTTTCCGTCAGTATTATGATTTTGGAGTTCAGCTGTGATTGTAGGTATCTAAGTTCAGCTGTTTTGCCTCCTAGCCCTCTCACATTACTGTACAGGCAACTGGTAGTCAGTCTCACCACGTCCCCGTATCGGGGGGTGGTTGACGTGATGTGGGCTGTCGGTTGAGCAGTTATTCTATGAACTAGTTGGCCTGTTGGCGGGTTTTTGTCTTCTAGTTCAATCGGAGTGCTTGGATGACACTGGCTATCATCATCCATGCTGCACCGCTGTATTGTGAATAAGGGTTGGGATTTTCTTTGACAACGTTTTGTTCTCTCCTTTGGATACGAGGCCGGCTCTCGCAGCAGCGAATGTGTCTGTTGACCTTGTTCTTGGTCTCGCACCATCTCTGGAGAGCAATAGTCAAGTGGTCTCGGGAGCTGAACTTAACAGCTAACAGACGTGGAGTGTTAATTGACATAAGGTGAGTGGGTCGAGGCAGTCTATAAATAGAGACAGCCCCTGAACTTCCCAGAGCCATCTGGGATGCCGACCATCTCCATTGCTGTTCCTCGTGACAGTGCTTCTCACAAGCGTTCCCAGTTACCAGTTCGAGAATGCCGTGAACAACCATGGAGACCGAAGGAATAAGCTCTGGCGACTCCCTCGCCATCAGTCTTTCCTTCCATGGCCTATCTGTCCTAACACGTATATTGCAGGCCCTCCCTATAGAAAGGACTTGAGAAGTCAGTAAAACTTTTTCGACATCGTCGGTAGAGCCCAGTGTTACCCTCAGCGGGGATGGTTTGCCATGAGGAGCAGCAGTGCCCCTGTACAATCTGCACAGTTTTACTGGTTGGATGTCCAGAACCAGTGTGCTACACAAGTTGGACCACTGTTCCCGATCAAACAGGGCCCTGTTTTCCAGCAGACTACTACTACAGTCTCTTACATTACAGAGGATTACTCAGTTTGATCTACTAACCGTGCACTTAGGTTCGGTCCTCGCACATTTGTCATCCCCCTTTAGACCATTTTGTTTCGTCTGGTGCGACTGGATATTATTGTGTGTCTCAGTGCCGTGGCCACTATTACTGGCAGACGATAAGGGTCTTTTCCCAGCGACAGATACCCCCCTCTGTGTCGGGGGCTGTTATGGCAGGAATTGCAAAATTAGCCGGTGTGGATTTTGGTATACCCGATTAACGTGCAATTGTGCTGTTTTCCGAGTTGATGGGAGTAGAACGTTTCACGTTTTCTCACCACTCCTCTTGGAGTCTACCAGAGCTAAAGCAGTCGAGTGGCGGGACTTAATACGCATAAATTCACCGAAGATCTGGAACCTCTACCTTACAATCAAGAAGTGAGCTCAAAGAAATCACTGGTTTATACTAGCTCGTAATCAGGTTATTGGATATTGGATAATGAACAACGCTGTATTCGTCGCTTAGCGTTACAGTTGGCATCATAACTTTTTCTTCACGTGGTAAGGGTGTGACACACTTGAATTTCGTTAATCTCTGCAGTATATGTTTCCCTTAGGATTATGTTTTTAGTAGAAAAGTGAAACTTCGCTACTTAATAAGTACCTGTTAAATAAAACATTCAGTATGACAAAAATATGCGAAGAATAGCTAAATTATGATTTGAATCGGCAAGTGGTAAAAAAGACAGGTCTACGGTTAGGATAAGGGTTGTAATTGGGATTAAGAGTAGTGTTTAGTTTAAGGTTAAGGTCAGAATTACGGTTTAAGTTTACGATTAGTGATTGATTTAGAATTGATGTCATTTATTTCAATTTGATTTACTATCCACATTTCCCTGATGACAAATTGTCGATCCTCTTAATGTCAGTCACAGTAATTGAACCGTAGGCTTTTGGGGAGAACTGCACAACAGGATAAGAGTGATAAACGATTTACAGAAATAGCTCATCTTCAGTCACCTCGGTGAATACATGTACAGAAACTAGTCTTACTTTGCAACTGGTATTCATCATTGTAACTGGGGAGTATTTTTAAGTCATTTAAGGGAAAGATACTCTGATTAATGTGTTTCCACTCATTTTTTTGTAAATATACGACATTTCATGCATCAATTCCTCATTTTTATGGTTGGTCAGCTCAAAGACACTCGTGCGTTAGCATCCCTTGGGACGCTATTGTTGAACTTTGCTGAAAGATGATATCATGAGCGAATCCTGGTTGAATGATATAGAAGTGTCACTGAAACTGGTTGAAATGTAAAGTAGTGGTCATATAGTGGAAAATATTGGTTACATTGTGACAAAATACAAAGCTATTAGCATCAAATAGCCAGACGTCAGTAAAAACAATATCGTTTTGTTTTTCATTCATTGGGAAATACAAAAAAACCTTTATTATAATAAATATCATGTATCCACTGCCCAAACTTTTCAAACTGTTAAAAGCGAACTTGATTCGGACATATGTGACAAAGTATTGTCTACATTTGAGTCAAAATAGGAAAAATTGTGTCATATGACGAAAATTCGCCCATTTTGTTCTTGCGATCAGCCATGCCTATTGTATACTCACTATTCATCGGTGTTTCACAATTTTTTTCGACTGAGTTTGGCTTGCAAATTGGTTAGCCACCAACAGAGCAGCTAATGGTGAAGCTAAATTGTTTTAAGATCAGTGAAGATAAACTGCACCGACCCAAATGAATTATAGCACCATTGATCCCAATTCATCTGTCAGAATCAAGCACAGCATAAGTTATCTCAAGCTTACAATAAATAAAGCTCAGGAATTCTGAACTAACGCCTATTTCCTATAGAAGGTAAATTCTCAAATGGCTTAATATTCCGTACAAAACATGTGCTGCTCCTACGCTCTACCCTCATTATCTCAGTACCTGATGGCATTTTTCTCAGCATCATGTTAGCGTCTCCAGCCCCTATTCGGTCCTGACTAGCATTATTCTAGCACAGCCCGCCTTAGTTCAACGTCCATTGTAATATTTAAGCACTACCTGCATTATTTCGGCGCAAAGCAGACTCTATTTTAAGCACAAAATATCCCATTACCACTAGGCCTCATTATCGACAGTGTTCAGAATTAGTTTAGCATCATTGTAAGCTCGGGGCTATTCATGCATAATAAAGTCAGCTCCATCCGGATTCAGTTTTGTGGCGGTAGTTGGTTAGTCATGAAAAATAGACTGGCTTTTCGTAATGGCTATTTTCGTACACAGTGACCGCCTAAGGTCACCTACAAATGCGTGTGTAGATGTATGTGTTGGCAAACTGTAACTTAGGGGAATGAATGGTACTTGGTCGAATATATTAATTTTTCTAGGTGTAATTTTCCACGGACAGAAGTACTGATCATTTGCCACAGTGGTGATTTAAAAGTGTAGTGTAGGCCTCAGCTGTGTTGTTGAAATACTGAGCACTACGGTGATATTAGCCCTGTTTCGTCTTGGTATCATGAAGAAGGAATCATACATGTTTAATACGTTTAAGTCAGAGGGTAAATGACTTTGTTCTTTAAAAACATGTAAGAATTCATAAATACTAAGCAAAACAGTTTTGTGTTGTGAAAACATTCAGTCTGTCGTCTCAGTGTCATTGGGTAAGCAGAACCATATTCTGTACACAAATGCATCCAGTTTTATGTCATGTGATCCGTCGGTTGTTGGTACTCTTTTCATCCCCATAATCATTCTACTGAGTTAATGTGAGAGTCCGTCGATGAATTCCTGATGTGACGAGTTTTCAAACTCAAATGAAAAGAGAACAACTAATTTGTTTTCTATGTTCTCAGACACATATTTTAGAATCAAGTCCGTAGGTCTAATTGAGAATAAATTATTGACTTGTCTTGTTATGTTCATCAGGATGGTTGTTTTTTGGCTTCCATCGTTATCAGTGCACACAGAATGAAGAAGAAGTGAAGAGCCATTAATTAGAGCACTTGCATTAGTAGAAGGAAGGCAAGATAATAGAGATGAAGATGAAGACAAAGGAGAGTGAGGATTAGAGAGGTTTCGTGTGCACATCGGATTGTGAGGGCGATTGTTACTTCCCGGCTGCCCACACCGTGGAAGTTGGTTGCGTGACCGCAGAGCCCAGGTGACAACTGCTTGAGGCCAGTCACACACGGCCTGTTTTTGTTTGTTGTTTTTCATTTGGTGTGCGTCGGTGGCACAGTGGTTAGTACTCTCGCCGACCATGCACATGGTCCGGGGTTCGATCCCCTGCCGGCGCACACCCGATATCTATAGTCGGCCTGAATTTGGGCTACCGATATCCATGCTGAAAATTCCACACTTGTACTGAAAATACGGTGTGGAATCAAGCTGTAAATCAAAAATAAAAAAGTCTCAGTAGCGTATTTATCACTTCTGCCCTGTGACACGGCAGCAGAAAGCGCGGTCGTTGTTAATCCGGGCCCCGACCGATCCAGCATGATATTTTGTGATTTATTTGAAGTCATAGGATTGGATTGGGTAACTGCTTTTAGTCTAACCGCTATCCAAACAACCTTTCTGGCATGGTAGGACCTGCACGAACATAAGTTCCAGCCAGTATAGCTTGTTGGGTAGCAGCTTTCGGTCTACCATTACTCATTCTGTTTCACTCTTATACTTATCTAAATTCTCTTGGTTCTCCTCTCTCATTTTCCTGTCTACCTTTGTGTGCTATTTGGAACATGGCAACTCGAACTGCTGCACTTCTGTGCCAAGTTCTATGTTGAATCCAGCAGCAGCAGCAGTTCATCAGGATGACAATGCCTGTTGTCTTATTGATGAATATAAGTGTAAGTGTTCTACCACATAAATGATTACATTATTAAATTATGGCTCACCTGTTATATTTTATTGATAATATCTAGCTGCATTAGTCTATGCAGGTTGAGTTTACAAGTCTGCAATCCACTAATATGAACTTTGATAGTTCCACAAACATTGGTTGGCAAGTGAAGGTTAGACGTTTATTTACGATCTTGTTTTGGCTCTGTCAGTCCTTATCAATCTTACTATTGTAAAATCATGTGTAAAAGTCGTTATCATTGAATCACATATGCTGATGTCCTAATGAATCACTTTCTGTATTGACTACAAAAAAAATCATCCTTAATTATTGTCCAACTGCATATTTTTTACAGCCAAATAATATCACTTGCGTTTCCCAAATGAAGGTATTCTCTCTACCAGTGCTGGTGATTCCGACAGGGTTTAATTTTATAGTGTGAACATATACATACTTTGATTTACTAACAATGACTAATATTTTATTGCCTTGCCTATGGAGATATACTTGAACCTTTTGATTATTATTTAGAGTATAACGTTTCAGAATATGACACAACTTATAACACTGTAATAACAAGTATTTAATTTACACTAGTAGGTATTCAGCAGTGTTTCCTTATCATCTATCCTACTCATGTACATATGTTCCACTTAAAACATCGTATTACTGTTGGTTATTATTACTGTTACTCTCTGTTGTTACTTCTCTGTTTTTCCAGGGCTACTGAAGAAGGACTATATCTTATTACGTAGGGTATTAAAGGTTGTCAGCAGGGTAAGCAATATGCCACTTAACCAGGTTGTTAATATTCTGATCGACAGGCACTTGGACTCATGTGAAAAATGGGCTAAATCCATTCTATCTAACTCACACCACCCTCTTCATTCACAACTCTTCCCTTCTATCTCATCAGGCAGGACTAGAAGCCTATATAGAAAACTATATGCTCGCACTAGCAAGTACAAAAACTCAACCATACCCTACTTAGCTTGTGTTCTGTGCGATAAAGAAAGCATTAGGCGTGATATCTGTAACTTATTAAATAGTCATTAGGACAATTTGGATCACGTCCTTTCAACTCATATCATTTATAAGTGCAACGTTTTCTTTCTTTCTTTTCCTGTTCTCTTTTTTTGTTATGTGCTGTTTTGTTTCTCTATTCCTTATAAACTCTACTTAAAACATTCTTCTTCGTTCTTTCACACTCTGTATATCTCGACCTTTCTGTTACCGCTTACATCAGTAAATATGCTAGTATCTACTTTTCTAACACCTTCAAACATTCTGTTCACTTTTGGGTTTGCTACCGATATGCTAATATTTTGTTGTCAAAATTAACTGAGACTACCCATAATCTATGTAGAATTTTGTTTATTGTTAATGTGCAAACTGGATGCAATACTGTAGTAAAATGCTGAGAATTCCATTCTGTATCACAAACCCTGTTTTGGAATAAAGCAAATTATTATCATTATTATTAGTTTTATTTCTCATTTATATTTGAAGCATTATAAAATTGAGATGAAAATAATTGCATCAGAACAATCCACATTTGCCTTCTGGATTTTTTTATAGTGTTCTGTGCAAGCCATAACATATCACACTATTTAAAAGTAGAGTAGAACGATAGCAATAACTGCTTCACAAGTGACTTTGTGTGGTAGTTGTGTTTGCCTGTGAAACCTTATTATAAAACCCATATTATTTGAAACACTAGGTGTTAAAGATTCTGTAGTATAAGGTAAATTAAATAAAATTATAAGTAATAATTTCCAGCGAAGTTAAATTTTTTTAGTTCCTAATAGTACAGTTTTAACGATAGCAGTGGAGTTGTGTTTTTCATTTGTTTTCCAGCCAGTAAGTCACTGTTTACAACCGCGCTCTATTTATTTACTTACTGAGGTGTGCACTACCAGTTAGTATCATGAGGCTTATATGTTGAGTGCAGCTCGTTAACTGTTATTTAAAAATGAAACAACAGAAGCGTTCTGCATGAAAATTAGTCTGTCTTTTACCACTCTTATCTTTTCAATTTAAGTGACTTCTCTGCAAAAGATACCAAGTGAAAGGGGATTAATGAAATATCGATAAGAAAGAGACTAAGTGTATCATACGACGCAAATAGCGTCAAGCATGGTAATAATTTTGATTATCTACTCTAAACCAACCGGCTCCGGTGGATTGGACATGTGCTGCGAATGTCATCCCAGAGGCTTCCGTACAGGTCTCTGTTCGCTAGCCCTGAGACGGGATGGAAAAAGCGGAGGGGTGGTCAGTCCATGACGTGGCGTCGTGGGATGACGGATATTTGTGCTAGATTAGCATCGGTTGGTGCGTCACGACTCCCTGGTTAGGGTCCACGAGATAGATCGAATCGATGGCTCGAAACGTTATCGGATATGGCCAAGAATCGTAATCACTGGCGAACGTGTCGCAATTTCCTTCTTTCTTCCCTTCCTGATGATAGTTGACGAATACTGTTTGAACTTGTTAAACATGACTGTTTTCCTTCCAGATGAAGTTCTTTATCCGTTTTCTACTTATATTTTTACTTTTAATCTATGTTGTTTTATTATTATTGTGTGGCGCATCTTTCTTGGTGCCATATTGTACAAAGTTTTTTCTGAGTTAAATAAATAAAATAATAAACCCTAAACCAAGTGATATCGAAACATGTGTATGTATAAGTAGGTAAAAGTAGCTGTTTTTCTCCAATTGTGGCTATCCTTTTTTGTATGTCATCTAACTTTTAGACAGTCTGATTTTCACTAACTTTTGTAATTACAACTTTCAGGCTTTTCCCCAGAACGTAACAATGAGTGTAGAAGATCCAAAGCCAATGGATTGTTCTCCTATCAATAATAATAATCGATTGTGTGCTATATGCCTAGAAAATGAGTTCAAATATAAATGTCCAAAATGTGAAATTAAAACTTGTAGCCTTTCTTGTTGTAATAATCATAAAAGTCAATTTAATTGCAATGGAATCTGTGATACTGTTACCTATTGTCGACGAGAAGATTATTCCACATTTCTTTTTCAAAGAGATTATAGATTATTGGAAGAAATTGACAGAAGGAATGCTGATAGAGAAAAACAGCTTTTATCAGTAAGTAATGATTCTTTTTCTGCAACACATGCTGTAGTACTTCTCTCGACTTTCAGTCTTTAGAACACAGTGATACCTTTTAAATCAGTTAATATTAGGAAAACTGTCTAGGAAAACACACCTAGAGGTTCTATAATGTCTGAGCGATTTCGTTTCCTTTCAGCCATCCGCTTCTCCAGGTGAATCAGTGTTAACCGTACGTGTAGCATTATGTTTTATAATGGTGAGAGGTCAGTGAAACTGTCTCAAAAAACTCTGTCCAACGTTTTTTGTAGATGCAACCGATTGCACTAGTGCGCATTACATCATTTAATTATCCCCATTATTCGGTGGCAGCTAGCTTTGAATCTAGTAATATGTGATATTTATTGCTAGTTGCAGGTGTAACCAATTCGCTTCCATCTATATGTTTAGGTTGACTTCCATAATGACTGTCAAAAGTCAAGATAAACGATCAGGATCTAGATGATGATGCGTTCAAATTTGAATACGTGCTAACGGTGATTGATGACAATGTAATCCATTTGAGTTCATCATTTATTAACTGAGGGGTAACACTAAGTAGTACATCAGTGATAGCTGTGTCCAAAGTTGATGCTCGCTGGACATAGATTGTAATCTACTCTGAATAGAGTAGGTAAGCGTCTAGATCTGTTGATGTACAATAATCTATTCGCCGTTAACCACTTGTGCAACTTTCTTTTTGAACCTAGATGTCCGATCTCTGTGCATTTAAGTCCCCAGATGACAGTGTAATATCTGTCGATCTGACGTCGTTAATATCACTCACTTTAAATTGCCTTGAAGTAATGAATAGTACTTACCTGACAGAGATTATGAACTCATCACTACATGACAGCATTTCGAAAAGAATATATGAGTCTTTCCGACCCTGGCCATCAAGAGTTCACTCAATGAATTCACACAATCTTGACTCCACGATGATTCTGAGTATGTGTCCCAGAATCTGAAATAAAGATTGACAACATATGAGCCTATTTCATTTTTCACAAGAATGAAAATGAATTTTGCAAGTTCATCTTTCTTTCTAAATGTCTTATCTAGTGTCTAAGTTTATTAATACGGAACACTACTCTTCATAGTTTGTTCTTAGCGGAACAAAAAGTACATTTTCAAGTGTTTTTCTTTAAGTTTCTTATGCGCGATAAATAATTGTTCAACCATCTCTTCTACTTTGTCCCGCAGCATGTGAAGTGTTCTTCATTAAAGTTAAAGTAAAACGATACACAGGTGATGAAGATTCCTGGGCAACACCACCAACAGCAACAACAACAGACAACAATCAGCATAAATGGGAGGAACCTGAAAGAAACCACCTCTTTTACCTACCTGGGAAGCATCGTTTCAACTACAGGCAGACGGAACTGACGAGGATATCAAAGCAAGAATCGGAAAAGAAAGACAAGCTTTCACTACTCTCAAGTCTGTGTGGAGGTCAACAGCACTCAGCATAAAAAATAAGATCCGGATTTTCAACTCCAATGTGAAGTCAGTGCTACTATACGGATCAGAGATTTGGCCAGCGCGTCATAAAGAACATCTCAAACAAACTACACATCTTCATTAACAGTTGTCTTCGCTCAATACTCAAGATCAGATGACCGGCCAGAAGAGATCAGCAACAGGGTGGGATCTCTGGCAATGAGCGAACCAACCAGTAACCGATTGTGAAACAAATATGCAGGAAGAAATGGAGATGGATTGGCCATACCCTGAGGAAACCATCAAGTGACATCACTAGACAAGTCCTTGAGTGGAACCCGAAAGGGAAGTGGCGAGTTGGTCGTCCAAGAGTGACTTAGAGGAGGTGATGTGGAAAGGAGATGAAAACGTGTGGACAGACTTGGAGCCAGGTGAAGACTCTAGCAGAGAACCGAACGCAATGGAGACGCACGGCTGAAGCCCTATGTTCCTCTAGGAATTAAAGGATACAATAATAATAATAAATAATATATGTAGGTTTCCTGGAAAAGATTTTAAATCTTTACTTAAGTGTATATGTGAATCTAAAGAGACAGAATATTGAATGTCAGAGCACTGTAGTGTTGGTTGACATATTAAGGAGCTTTGATATCGTAGAATATGTTTGACTGGCCTAGGCACTAATTGTTCAATCACTAGGTCCTGGTTTTCAGTCTCTCTTCCCTTACTTTATCATCAGTCTTCACGTAATCATTGTGACCCATAATAGATCTATCCTAACATTACTATAGACCACGTAAATATTTGAAAACAACTAGATCATATTTTAACATCTTTTGTTTTGTATATCTACTTTTGATTCGCAACTATGCAGTTATTAATTTGATTTTTTAAAAATCCTTCTCTTTCGTTAGCTGTCTCATCGAAATACTGGAAGAATACGAAAAAGAAATCAGTTAGTAAAGTTGGCTAGTGAATATGGCATTACTCTTCGACTCTCACCAACACTTATCCTGTCGCGTACCAAAGTCAACAGAACTCGTATCCATATACAGAAAGATGAACCAAAAAGTATATTATGGAGTGTAGAGTTTAGTCTTATACCATTGGAGGCGAATTCAACTCCTGTTATTGATCAATCGAAATCTCTACGACTGGTTGTACATGATCAAGAACAACAGAGACGATTGTGTAATATATGGGATGATCATGTATTGAATGTTTCCTCTGAGAAACAAGATTCATTAATCACCTATTCACCTCCACGTTCACCGCCTTTTGGAAAGATTTCATCATGGTTGCATTGTGGAACAAATCAATCAAGTGATGATCCTACTAACTCGATGAATAAAGTCTATTTCTATGTAAAAGTTCAAGAGATTAGTGTTCCACAAATAGATGAAGATGTCAAGACAACACTGACTCGTCGATACAAATATGTGGAGATATTTACAACGAATAGATTGATTGATATATTAACTATCCCTGGTCTTATAATCCATGAAATGCCTACAATCTACGTAACTAAGCATGAATTAAACAGTTCAAATACAACTTGATTGATTTTTGAAATTTCTATTTGAAATGGCATTCAGTGTATGGTGGCTAACAACAGTAGTGATTCACTCGTTTTCGGACTGTCGTGTCGATAAACTCACCCTGTAAGCATAATCCATAGCTTACGAAAGGCGTTTAAGCTAGGAATGCTAATGATTTCGATTATTATGAAGTTTGGATTAAAACACTAAACGAATATTGTTTCAATGTTTTGATTGGACACTAATAACTAGTGTAATGTGTCTAGTCCTATCTTCGGTGCAGACTGAATTCTATCGTGTGGCCACCATTCTAGGTAGCTTGCCATCACGGTGCACACATTGATTTGATGATATTACATAGTTGGAGGCAATCGGCAGGCAGGAAGCCCAGCCTTCGACCTGGGTTTCGTGCTAGTTGGCACTCATCAGTCAGCAAGGCGTATCTGCAACCTTGAAGGAATTCATGTCCCTTCTACGAGCCTGAATAACTCAGTGGTAACGTCTCTGACTGCAGCACTGGGTGGCGCGGGTTCGAATCTCAGAAGGAACATGAGTTCTTTCAAGGTTGCAGATACGCCTTTCTGACTGACTGGTGAGTGCCAACTAGCACGAAACCTAGGTCCAAGGCTTCCTGCCTGCCGACTGCCTCCAACCATCTTATATTGTTTCAATGTTTTTGGATATGTGTATTTTTAGGGATATTGACTGTTCGGAACTATACGATATTATTCTGATATTGTGTTTACAGTGACTTGAGTAATTCCACGGTGGATTCCGCTGTAAAAATCCGGCGCTCAGTTAGAGGAGCGATGAAAATCAGGGAGCATTAGAAGACTGTATCTTCCTCGATTGGGGCACTTCAGTAGGTACATCTATGACTTTCCCACAGAAGCACTACAGGACTTTCATATTTGCCAGCATTTGAGAAAGTAAATTGTGTTTCTTTTGTCAATAGAGATTAATCATAGAGCTTTTGACAAGGGAAATAATCACGGCACGCTTGAACATGGTAAGAAGTTGATGGAATAAACAATTTGGACACTTACCAAGCTAGATTTTCGATTACATGAGAATGAGGGGATCTGCACGGCTTTGAATACATTCGCCTTCCCTTTAATTTACGTTGTAAATGGAAGGGTACGATTCTTCAATGACAAATTTTTAACCCTTAGTTGTGGATTTAGCCTCGACATTTACATTTCAGGGTGGTTTCACACATTAGACAGGTGTCTGTCTGTCTGTTTTCGACATAGAACTTTGCACATATGTGCGGCAGTGTAAGTCACCACACTCCTTCCTTGTAGCACACAAAGCAAAAGAAGAAAGTAGGAGAAATGCATATTAGAGACAGTAAACAGAGGTGTGAGACAAAGGAATAGTAATAACGAAGAACAAAATAGTTTAATTGGAAATCTGCGCCACTGAGAACGATTTTGAGCCATGTCACCAATTGTTTCCAACCATTGGTTTTTACCGTCCCGAGGACCCCAACCAGGAAGTCTACACCTTCTTAAGTGGCTTAAACTAACTGTTGTAGGTTTCATTGACTGGTGCCATGTTTTCGTTTCACCGCCGCTAGCTCTTTTCCAGCCTGACCCTATATCAGCTAACATTGCCCGTCGAGGAAAGCATACGTAACACATTTCCTAACCATCTCAGTCGATGTAATCTTACAGCCTCGTCGATTGATTTCCCCTCCTTACCTAGCACTCCACCGACTCCTGACCTCAATATTGCTCAGTTTATTATGCCACTTCACACGAGAGATAGAACACAGACACCTATGATCGAAGACAGCTAATCTTTTCATGTCTTCCACTCTCAATGGCCAGGTCTCACAGCCATAAAGGAGGACGGAGCGGACTGATGAGCAGTACATACGCCCTTTGGTCGATAGTCGGATATCACGTCTACGCCAGAGACGGCGTAAACTGGCATATGCGAAACTGGCCCTCTGTATCCGTGCTGAGATTTCGTCAGAGATCAACCCGTTGGGGCTGATGGTACTTCTCAAGTAAGTGAAACGGTCAACGTGCCCTACCACTTCACTCCCTATTTCTAAACTGGAAGTCAGTGTAGTCCAGTCCTGTAAAATCGTCTTACATTTGGCGGGAGCAAATCGCATGCCAAACATTCATAGATTGCAACTCAAGATGTTCAGAAGACTCTGCATTTTGTCAGCGTCCTCGCCTAGAAGGACTATATCATCTGCATATTCTAAGTCAACGAGATTATTCCCTCGTAGTAAGTCAATCCCTGAGTCGCTGAAGTCACTTAGGGTTAATTCCATTAGTACATCTATGATGAAGTTGAATAGAAATGGGGATAATGGGCATCCTTGACGGACGCCACTAGCTTACATGCTCTAAGATAGCTGATTGATACCTGGTGACATCTTGATGTCGTTGACTGTGTAAAAAAATCACAGTTGACTAGATGTAGCACAATAACCGTCGGAACAAATGGTTTGTTAATTCATTGACTCGATAAAACTATCATACTACTTAAGGGGAAATGATAAAACCTTTTCATTAGTATTTGATCTCTTTTGAACGCATCAGTTCATCTCTGCTTTAATATAAATCCAAATGACTACGACTACTTAAGTCATAAAACACTCGAAATGAATCCTTATTGAATTTTAGGCGGTTATAACCTGCACATAGAAGGTTGAAATTTCTTTGCACTCATTTTAGCAGGCTAGTAGTTCTGAGGTGAAACAATAGTCAATAGAATTTCAGTCTTTAAGGTTAATGTAAGGCAGTTGTAACCAATAAATACACTAACAGTTTGTTTGATTTAATGTTGATCTGTGGCTTATTGGTTCACTCACCGGACTTTCAAATACTTAGCCAATATGATCCAACTCTGGTCGAAGAAGCAGCAAAGACAGGACTCCAGGTGAACATAGACAAAACGGAGGTTATAAAAATAACCAACCAACAACAACAACAGCAACATCCAGCGCCAATCACCATCAATGGGAGGGATTTGAAAGAGGTTACTTCATTCACTTATCTAGGGAGCATTGTCTCAACTACAGGAGGAACGGACGAGGATGTCAAATCGAGAATCGGAAAGGCGAGAAACACATTCATCAACCTGAAACCAATCTGGAAATATTCGTCACTCAGCCTACATCAACAACAAAATTCGGATTTTCAATACAAACGTCAAGTCAGTTCTTCTATACGGATCAGAAACTTGGCGGTGGGTCACAAAGAATATTTCCAACAGCCTGTTGCAGACCTTTATCAACAGCTGTCTTCGCTCTATACTCAAGATCAGATGGCCGGAAAGAATCACCAACAAGAAACTATGGGAACAAACAAACGAAACAAGAACCGATTGCCCAACAAACATGCAGGAGAGAATGGAGATGGATTGGACACTCGCTGAGCTGAGGAGGCCGCTGGGTGACATCGCGCGTCAGGCCATTGCTCGAGTGGAACCCGAAAGGGAAGCGGCGAATGGGACATCCAAGGGTGACATGGAGGAGATCGTGTGAAGAAGAGTTGAAACAGTATGGACTAACATGTATGCAGCTGAAAAGTACAGCAGAAGTAAGTGGAGACGTGCAGTTGAAGCCCTATATTCCACTAGGAACCCAAGGGAACGATAATAATATTATAATAATGATCCAACTATTGAGGTTCTTTCACTCAGTATCATTAGCCTCTCTATACAAAATGCCTAAGTTGTTGCTTGGTACATGTGAGTGCAAGTACTCTTGAGTAACACCTCATTTGACTTATTAGAAATTTGAAATAAGATTTCTTTACTGAATGAATTAGACCGTAAGTTATCTGATTACAATTCATTTCGTATTTAAGGTTTTTACTGACAAATCTTCAATAACTCAAAGGAGTGGAAGGAAATTCGAGTTACTTTTGGAGATGTTAAAGAGTCATTGAATCTGCTTTGTTGTAAGGACCTTCTTATCATCCCGAAGACAACATCCTAAAAATGTATACACAACCATATTACCCATACTAACAGTCAATGGCCACGTGACCTGAAAGTTCCCATCACATTAGCATTAAGTTGATCTGAATTGTTGTAGTACCCTCACATACTTTGTGGCAATACATACGAAGTTTCGGACAGATAATTAGTAATTCCGAGACTAACTATAACCAAAAGTGTATTGGAGTGATTCTAAACGTTATTTCAGCCAATAAATGATTAATGTAAGACAGTGGAGTAATTTAGATCAACAATTATTTTGCTTCCATCTTTGTGTGTTTATTTATAGTGTACTGGACAGCTGTTTCATCCTAGTTTGTGACTCTTCGACAGCACGCACCCACCCCAGTGGGGTTCGAACCCAGCACCTCCCGGTTACAAGGCAAGTTCGTAGACTATTCAGCCACTGGGACCCAGCCCATGAATTCTAACTTCCGCCAATTCTCTATATATAGAGCCACCACCAAGCAATATCATCGGCGGGTATCTATCCTCAAATCCAACTTGGTGAACCCCACTGTTCAATAAGCAGGTTTTCTCACGATGTTGGAAGAAAGTGTTTAAGAAATTTGAGGATAAAAATCTACGATAGATAGAATGAAAGCGTGAAAATCTTTCTCCAGTCATGATTCCTTCTCAACTACACCTTAACCACACTTAACTGAAGAGGGATAGTGAAGTAGGCGGGATTGTTACACCACTTATACTGTTAGCTGTATTACACACACGGTGTGTTGATTTCTCCCAAAAAAAATCTCAGTTAATCAAATTCTTTTAATAACAGCTACATCATATCTTCACTTATGACTGAATGGGAAATAAAAATCAGCATCACAGAAGGATTCGAACCTGGTGGCCTGAACATTGTTGGGTCGGCTAATTACCGGTCTGTCCGTGAGACCTAAATGCTAACCACGTTCTCTTCCATAATGCTCCCTTGTATACCCGCCACCAATGCATCCACCTACTGAACTTACACAAGTCCTTTTTCGTACTCATTCAATACATAAGCCTTGTCTGTAAAACCCAGACACTGATGCTTCATTTGAAGACTGTAGATTGTACTCCATACCTCTGTAGAATTCAGGAAAATATGGCTGCAACACATAGAATTGCTCTCTTAAGTGCATAAGCTGCAAGT